ATTTAAATTATACATTTTTTAATATGTTCATATTACTGATTTTACTTTTTTTTTTCCCATTGTGTTTTCTTACTATAGTTTCTCCCCATGATTACTGTTTAGTGTTTTATTGGTTTAATTATCGTTATATTTAGCAACTGTACTTTGAAAATGTATAAAGACTGATGTAAATTCATCTTATTCTGCTTTAGATACTGAAGATGGAATCTGATAGAATTGAAAATATGACTTGAATTATCAGATTGGTTTCGAAACTTCCAAGATGGTAGTGCCCCTGAAACGAACTTCGCGTTGTTCAGCTGAAGCCATTTTGCAGGAAATATTCACTGATGAGTACTGAATCCAATTGATTTAGTAATAATTTAAATGCAGAAGATGTAAAGGATTCCAAGGAATACAGTATAGATGATGAAAAGAAAAGTGACTCAAATAATAGCAAGGAATTGAGTGATGTGAACATGGATGGCATAAATGCACATGCCAGTCCATGTAGGCCTAATACTGGCAGTAACAATGGTGCTACAGCTGGTCCTGCTCAGGCACCTGGCTGTGAGCAAGGTTTTCTCCATGGTAATCAGGGCAGGAGAAATAAAAATCAGGTGTGGGACTGAAATAACGTAGACAGACCTCCACGTGTACGTCAGTTCAATGATACTCCAAGTGTAAACATACAGCTAGATAATACAGAGAACTGCCTTCAGTGGTTCAAAATGTTTATTACTGATGAACTAATATACATTGTTGTCAGAGAGACGAATAGTTATGCTGTACAATTTTTACAGGAACACCAAGATTTGAAAAGATATTCCCATGCTAGATGATGGAAGGATTTGACTTTTGACAAACTTTGGCTGTTTTTGACCCTTCTCTTCAACACTGGGATTGTAAAAAAAGCCCAAGATTCAGAATTGCTGGAATAGCGATAAAAAATAGCTACCCCCTTTTTATCCTTAGACTATGGCAAGGGATAAATTTCTACTGATATTGAAGTTTCTCCACTTCAATGACAACAATGCAAGTCCCAAAAATTCTCAAGATCAACTGTATAAAATTCACTCAATTTACAATTACATTGTAAACAAGTTCAAAAATGTATATATCCTACAAGAACCATTGTTTCTATGTGAAGGAATGCTCAAATAGGGAGATTGTGTAGTATTTTGTGTTTACAATCCACAAAAACCTGTCAAGTATGAGATGAAAGGGTACATTCTTTCAGAGTCTGCTAGTGGATATATTTGCAACTGTGGCTTCTACTGTGGTGTTGGCAAAATGCTGCAGCAAATTTGTGATGGTCTCCTGGAACACCTGTATGGGTTTGGCTACAAGATATACATGGATAATTATTATAACAGTGTGGCCCTATCCAAATTTTTGCTGGCAGATGAACAAAAGTTCCACGTATGTGGAACTCTGAGACTGAACCAAGGTGCTCCTCCTGATCTGCAGCATGAAGTTGACAGACTGCAGAAGGGTCAGGTGGTTTTTCTGTTGTTGTTGAGATGGCGATGTGTTAGTGAGGAAAAACAAATGCCCAGTAAAAATTATCTCCACAATTCATGATTCTAGGAAGGTGGATTCTGGCAAGAAAGACCAGGACAATCAACCCATCCAAAAACCAGCTTGT